AAATCTAATGTTCACTCGAGCTCACAAAAAAATAAGGTCATATCAAACAGATTACTAAATTCAAACTAAAAATAATCTTATGTCAGTCAAGACGTGGCCTGAGTCATCTGTCTGCATGATTTTATCGTCAAATGACTCCACAAAAGAAACTTTTACAACCTAAACCCTCTGATTGAATGATTTGATCGGCAAACTCCATTTGACCAGTAGACTTCATTGTAAAATGGTCACAGTTATAGCACATATGTTCCCAAATGACAGTCCACCCTTTTGAGTATTGAATCATATGATATATTTGATAGGGCGGAGGACCTTCTGTAAGCTAAGATTGACTTAGATTAATCCCTTTAGACGAAGATTCACCTCAGATCCTCTTGGACAATGTAACTCATGGCTGCTGACAAGGATCCTTCTATCAGGTTGGGTCAACTACCTCGGCTGAATAAGTAGAACTGATAATATGAAAACCCGAGATAACGAAACAATATAATCTTGATTGGGTTGTCATCATTTCCCCCACTATCCGCTTTTAAGCTAACAATGATAATTTTATAGTTTTGAAATTTAAACTTATTGTTACTATATGCTACGTTCAAATACTCCATGCCTAATGACTAGCCTTAATCAAAAGTGTTCTCCCATTTTGGGAGGGATAATTAACCATAGGGGCTTGCGCCCATGAGAAACCTCAAACCCCGGATCCTAAAATCTTCATAAAATGAGAGTGAAATCTCTAGGCAGTGTCTTATCTATTATCTTCGTTACCTTCTAAAAATTTAAATAAGAAATTTAACACATTAAGCTCTTGACGAGAGTCTGGTGTATTTTGAATTTTCTAAGCCCACAATAATTACACATCAGTAAAGATGTGGCTTGAGTTATCTATCCGTGTGCTTTGGCCTAACTACTTCACAAAAAATAGCAATTACGGGAAAATCCCTCTAATCCAGGTGGTTGCCACTAAATGACACTGTTATATTACCCTTAATGTCATAACCCATATGTTTTCTACCCTTTGAGTTATTAATCATAATGGCACATTTAATTAGCACAAAGCTTTTTCTCAGTTAAGATCGACTTAAATTTATTTCTTTAGATGAATTTTCATCTTAGATCTACAATTGTCCCTTGAATGACGCAACTCATGGTTGTTGACAAGGACCATTCAGTTAGGTTAGTTCAACTAACTCCTCTAACTAAGTAGATCAGGGACCACAATGACCTGGGATGATGGAGTCATAGGATTTTGATTAGGTTCGTCATTATTTCCACAAATATCTACTTTAAGCTCCAAGTGATAAATTTTACAATTTAAATCGTATATTTGTTGCTACTATTTACTAAATATTTAGCAGTGAATGAATAGTCTTAATCGAAAGTGCTCTCCTGTTATTAGGATATGCAATCAACCATATGGGCTTATGCCTATCCCTAGATCAAAAAAGTCCTCACAAATGAGGGTGAAATCTCAGAGTAATGTCTTCTCTGCAATCTAATCTGCATTTTGAAAATTTGATCTTACAAAGCGCTCATATCAACGAAGTTAGAGTCATCAAAATTTTTTAAGCCCACAAAGTTGAATTTATAGAAGACAAACTTTCAGATGGTGTGCGGAAAATCTTCAATGGAGAAATGTTTATATCAAAGGAAAGTTGAGAGTAGCATCTTTAAAAAAAAAAGATGGTGATGATAGGATTTTGTAAAAGGTAAGAAATGCACCTACTAACAAATGGATAAATTAAGTGTCAAAACATTTAAAAGAAAAATGGACATGCCTTACATACCATATGATGAAATATAAGGATTCCTAAAGGAAACCCTATATAGTTGGGTTGAGGCTAAAAAAACAATGATCTCATGCAAAATCTCTGACGTAAAATTAAACAAGAATCTAAAATAGGAAATTCTAGACAGTTTTCTGTTTTCTTTTTTTATTTAAACTGATTTTAATTTATTTTTTTCAATCTCAAAGACACAATCATTTAGAAAAAAACATACTTTGCATGAACAAATATAATAGCCATGGTAGAAATAATAAAAAAGACAATAAAATGTTGTGTTAGCACGCACAAAAAAGGTAATTTAGATAATAAAATTATTAAAATCCCAAAAGATGAGCAAAAGACAATAGAAACCCTACAATAATTACATGAAACATTGAAAGGAGCCATTAGATACCTATTTCATCATAGAAGTCGCTTTTGTCATAACCATGTGGGTCAAAGACTTCTGTGCCAAAGCAAGTACCGATCTGCTCAATGTCTTGATACCCGACAGCATGTTGCAGAAAATCTGGATTTCTATAATCCTTCTTTTTACGTAAATCGTCATTGAAGCTTTTCCCAGCCATTTTATAAGAAAGGAACTTGTTTATCTTTTCCTGAAATAGGTGCAAGGAAAATGTCGTTGGGGAGGACTGAAAGAAAATTATCCCAAATGTTTTCTTTAAAAAAAAAGAGAGCATGCAAACAAGAAAAGATCATAGAACCCATTTACGGAGATGGATCAAAAAATGCAAGAAATAATTGCCGAAATTGAAATCATATATGAAGAAAGAAATTAAAAATCAAGTCCTTTGCTAATTCTTTTCAGCTTTTTATTTATTATTTTTACCTTACAAAAGCATGTACCATCTAAGTCGTGATTTTTGCAACAAACTTGTGAGAGTAGCATCTTTCTATTTGTGAGAGTAGCAATGAATCTTTAGGACAAAACAGCACAAGCTTATCAAGGGCAACAATACAAGATGAAGCCTAAGGTTTCATTTGGTAATGAGGTAAATTATAAAGCTATGTCATCCGGTTGGGAAAAATGGCAGGAACATGTGAGTTTAAACTGCCAAAAAAATAAAATTAGTATATGATAAGCACTTGAAAAAAATATTCCAGAGCATTAGAAGTAGGGACTAAATCTAACATGGGTACAAATTTTACTATTGAAAGAAAACATGAACATTTTGTAAGTAGATATCTCAGAGACGTTGTTAAATTACACACTTTTAATGAGAAATTCCTGGATTAATTTCTTCTAAAAAGATGGGCCTATAAACAAACCGAAGTGTCCAAACAGGAAAGCTAGCAATCAACATTAAAAGTACAGGAACAAAAAAATCAAGCATATGTAGTCAGAAGGATATATTAATAACACCATGATCAGGTTTAATTCATCACATGAAAAAGGATATTATTAATTTGTGGTACTTGTATGCGTACTGCAGAATTAATCATGGCAGAAAAGAGTAAAAAACCACAAAAAGCATATATTGCATGCCAATGGTTCAACAAGAATATCTTCGAGTCACTGCCACAAAATACCCAGTGAAACAATATTGAAAGTCTTAAATTCTAGGGTTTACTAATAAGAACCTAGGATGAGATGCTCAAAGAGATAGAAAAAAATTAAAATTCTGAGATTCCCAACTTTCAACTTAAGCAAGGAATATTCACTTTTGATGTGAAATTATAAAAAACATATTATCCATTCCAAACGATGAGTAATGGTAGCCAAAATCTGAAAATCCACTAGAAATCTGAGAATCAATATATAGGTTCACACAATAAAATAAAAACCTGATTAAGTATCAAATAGAACAAAATCTTGATCATGCACATAGACAAATCACTAAATAATTTAGAAATAAACAAAGGGTAAAAGTCACCAATTTGAAGATTCAAGCATCATGACAAGACAAAATGTCCCTAATGAGGAATTCGCACTGGGTTGTGCCCTTTTTGAGTGCCCTGCTATCAATGTACCTCAATTCATCCTTCTTGGACACAATCAATGCTACTATAGCACATAAACTAATATTCTCACAAACTAAACACTATCTTCTACCTACTTTTGTAGCTCCTCATACTTTGTTTGCCACATCTAGTAGAATGATTATCTGGGGAACACTAATTATGGGATGGGAACTATGAAATAATGAATCTCACATAGTGATAATAATCTAGTTGGTAAGTTGTCAGTCAAAACATCCTAAAACTCCTTTGATAGGGCTACATTGCATCAAGTATCAATTCCTACACCTTAATGCCCTCCAGCATCACCAAAGCAGCCCCATTGGCACCTCTCTCATAGTATGTAAAAATATAGCACAAGGCACTAACTCTCATTTCTGTTTGAGTAATCATTATTGTTGAGTCCTGAAAAGGAAAAAGTATAATACACTTTTCCATTCTTGATAAATATATAGATGTTTTTGTAGCCAGCATGAAGTATACCCCTTATACAACCATGATCAGCACAATAGAATATGATATGCATACATAAGCATGATGTTACACCACACCCGATCTTATAGCTTGTTTTCAATAGAAAATCTATCAATTATCTCGTCAATAATAATCACAATCTTTTTTTTTCAAACAGGGAATAAAAGCCAGGAGTGCTTTTGTAACCATCTTAATGCCCTCCAGCATCACCAAAGCAACCTCATTGGCACCTCTCTCATAGTATGTAAAAATATAGCACAAGGCACTAACTCTCATTTCTATTTGAGTAATCATTATTGTTGAGTCCTGAAAAGGAAAAAGTATAATACACTTTTCCATTCTTGATAAATGTATAGATGTTTTTGTAGCCAGCATGAAGTATACCCCTTATACAACCATGATCAGCACAATAGAATATTATATGCATACATAAGCATGATGTTACACCACACCCGATCTTATAGCTTGTTTTCAATAGAAAATCTATCAATTATCTCGTCAATAATAATCACAATCTTTTTTTTTCAAACAGGGAATAAAAGCCAGGAGTGCTTTTGTAGCCATCTTAATGCCCTCCAGCATCACCAAAGCAGCCTCATTGGCACCTCTCTCATAGTACGTAAGAATATAGCACAAGGCACTAACTCTCATTTCTATTTGAGTAATCATTATTGTTGAGTCATTAAAAGGAAAAAGTATAATACACTTTTCCATTCTTGTTAAATGTATAGATGTTTTTGTAGCCACCATGAAGTATACCCCTTATACAGCCATGATCAGCACAATAGAATATGATATGCATACATAAGCATGATGTTACACCACACCCGATCTTATAGCTTGTTTTCGATAGAAAATCTATCAATTATCTCGTCAATACTAATCACAATCCTTTTCTTCAAACAGGGAATAAAAGCCAGGAGTGCTTTTGGATAGTGAGGCTAACTCATCCGGAATTTGGGCAACATTCGCATAACTACCTTCATCTATAATGAGATGGTAAATTTTCCACTTCCCAATACCGCGAGTACGGAAGAAGCTTCCTAAACCACTATCGCTCCCTCTTAGGCTCGATCTGGAGAGTTTATCAAATCATAAGTATCTCACCATCATTTATAGGTAGTCAATACTCCTCTCTATCCTCCTCATCTCTGGAGTCTTCACAATCTGCTTCTTCCATAATATC